CGACCTATCACAGAACTAAGACCTTTCCCTCTCACCCTCTCCCTGTGCAGTTCTACACAAACACTCATTGTTCCCACAGAGTGACTCCCGGCTAGTAAACAGTTTGGAAAGATCAGGAGGTCCTCAGGGAACATTAAAGCCACTGTTCAGACCCTGCATCAGAACCTTCTGTTATAGCCTTTTCTAGTGAAACTCAAAGGCATTGACCTTGACCTTTCTCCCTTTCTCCAGTAGTAACTCTCCTGCCCTACTCAATGGCCATCCTGAAAAGAGATACCCACAGGTGTCTAGCTAAACTCTCAAAACCAGTAAGGACACCTCAATTTTTGCCAGAGAGGGGTCAACAGAAGTCCATTGCCTTCGCTTTTTCCCAGGGCACTTCTGTTCTATTTCATATGTAACTGCCAGTCCAAGTATCTTGTCTTTCCCTTCCAGACTTCCTTCCAGATTGCACAAGAAATCTCTCCAACCTCCCACCACACAGCAACTCACACACACATCCGGATATTTCACACACATACACACACACAAACCCTATGACGCTTCAATACAGGTACCAGATCTCTTCAAATTATGACATATTCCTCAATTTCCTGACCACTCCTCAATCACAGCTTAACATCCTTTTAGAAGGAATGTCCCCAAATTCTAAAGCCTTCTCCTCACTTCCTCTATCATTTCCAGAATCAAAAAGAACTTCTACTTGCTACCCCACCCTTAATATTAAACAATTCTTCACACCTCACCCAGAGATACATGTAAACACACATATTTAGGTGCAATCAAGCCTTTGGGTCCAGAGAAATACACACATGAACATACACAGACACACACACACACACACACACACACACACAGGAAAAAGGTAAATGAGTTGAATTTTGTTTTTTATGTATGTGAGCTTGCTTAATTTTTTAATTTGTTGTTTTTGTCTACTTTTGTCTGTAACGAATTAACAAGGGCATTTTGACCTAAGAAGATCAAGTTTACACACACACACACACACACACACACCACCCCTGTAGTCACAAATGAAAACACCGTTCACAAACATACCTCATTGCCTCCCTTAGCTGCTCTTGCTCAGCTGAAAGGATGGCTTAGAAATAAAAGCAGAGGAGTGCAACCCACAGATAGTAAGCTAAGCCGGGCACTGTTTACCAGCCTATGTTAGTGGATTTTAAATGCAAATTACTGCCCTGAAGTCCTTCCCCCATCAGAATTATTAGTTAATTAGTAATCAAGGTCTTCCTCTAAGATTTCAGAGAGGAAGCCACTTCCAGGACGCTTTCTATCCCCTCCAGTCCCTGAGGGTTTATTCATGGTGAGGACTTCCAACTTGTCTGTCTAGAGAGCACCAGAATGACTCAATTTGAAAGCAACAAGGAGCAAAAATTAAATGACCTGGTATCCCAGAAGAACTCTGGTTTTTCCCAGAGACTCCTAATTTCTTAGGAACCCAGTGACATTAGAACAATCTGCTGACCTATGACCAAGGAAATTGTTCTGAAAATGTTTTCAAAAGTTTTCTTTTCAGGCCTCTACCAAAGGTGTGTCTGTAAGATTATATATGTGCTTCCTTAATATATTGACCAAAAATATAGCAACAGTATGATAGCTATTGTGATTGCAAAATAGTGATAAGCTTAAGCAATTTTTCAATATTATCTTAAATATGCAATATGAAAGTAATATGACTTCTCTTGGAACCAAAGTGCACTACTAACACAATGGTGCTAACTTTCAGACTAACTTTGTAATGAAAAGAAATGCTCAGTTGCAGTTAGAGGTTACCAAAGAAAAAATGTGTCAATATTTCCCCCTTCCCAGTTCACTGGGCTCTGTGAATTATATCCAGGAACTCCAGGCTAAGAAGTCTGCTTTATTACCAAGTGGATCTTCTTCAGTAGGGCAGAGTCTTCCCCATAGGCTGCCCCCAAGGGTGTTTCATGTACATGTTGTTGCCAGAGCCCAAAGAAATAAAAATAGAAATTAAAGATAAGTGTTGAGAAGCTTTTATAACAATATGACAGAGTACTCTGATATACACTGACCTTAATTATTTTTAAATGGAGCTTGTATTTGTATATCCTTGATTTTTTACTTTATTTTCCTAGTAATTTATTTTAAGTCTTACAAAATTCTTAGTCTGTGACATATTGGAAATTTTTCAAAAATGCTCTTTTACTGCACATAATTTTAAAAGCCCTATTCAACTGTTGCTATTTCTGAACATTATGTATCAGTGAAAATTCAGGAAATATTTGGATCTATGAATTTGTTAACTGTGTGTATCACCAAGAAAAACTATATGAAAGTCACTATGTCATCATGGTTGTGTCATAGGACATAGACTTGGACAATCAAAATGGAATTAATTTATATTTTTGAAAAGTCCACTTCTGTGTCCTTCTTGTTCTCATTTCACCAACCACTAGTGAAAATGTTGTCAGGAATCATCAGTCTTTAATTTGTTTATTCCTGAGTCAGGAATCAGCACAGCCTTTGGGAGCACTGAGTGCCTTTGGCATCATGTAATCAAAGAATTTAGTGCTAAAAGAGTTAGGAAAAGAAAACTAACTTGCATGGAGACCTGCAGAGTGCCAAGATCTCTGCCTATTTTGCCTTGCTGATATCATCATGGCCCTAAGGCATAAGTGTCTAAAATGCCACCAAATGCATATCCATCCAGTTCCAGAGCCCATGTGGGCTGGACCATTAGGAACTTTTGAGATCATCAAGTATAGCCAGCTCCCTCATTTTAAAGGTGAGGAAATTGAGATCCAGGAATGTTGTAAGGTTTGCATGGGTGTTGACTAGAAGGTCCAGATTTGAACTGAAAGCCCAGGTCTGCTTACTAGCAGGGGAACTTGAACAAGTAAAGTTCTTTTTCCTTAACTTGAATGAAGGTAAAAGTGGTACCTAGCCAACAAACTTATAAAATAAACAAAGCAAAGCAAGCAAAAAACTTGGTATTACATAAATACCCCCAAAGTATCAGTTACAATTAAAATTATGATGCTCTGCCACAGCCCTATGTCTGGAGCCCAGACCCTGGACTCCAGATCTCAGGCTCCTTCAACTCTGCCAGTCTCTTATTGTATCCTAAATCAGGATTCCAAACATATCATGTTACCATAATTTACATAAAAGAACAATTATCAAGTACCTACTTTGAAAAGGCCCTGCACTGCATGCTGACATCTATGATGTTGCCTGATTATCACAGTTTAAAGGTTAAGTGCCAAGTCCTTGCATTAAAAAAGATGATTCAAGCCAGACCAAGGCACAAATACTGTGATGCCTAGAGTGGCCAGCTACTATGATATAACAAATGCCATCAGGAGAAGAATACACACGTTGGGAGCAACAAGGAAGAAACCAAGGCACAACCGTTTGAGAGTGGAAAAGGAAGCAGAAAGGGATATTTTGGGTCAAGGAAAGAACATCTGTAATGCACAGAGGAAGGGACAGGACTAGTTTTGTAAAAGATACAGATGTGGAGACAGGTGGGTGACAATTAAGGACAACACTGAAAAGTACACTGGAGCCACAATCTGGAGGTCCTAGTGCCTTGGCAAGAAGACTTCTATGAACCACAGGAACCATCACAAGTAAGAATGTGACCAAATCTGTCATAAGCATGAGCTGGATTTCGGAACTCTCCAAGACTTAAAACCCTGGATTATGTGCCTCTTTGAGTGATTAGTCCAAAATATATTACTTTTCCCCACACCTCTAAGAATTCCAATATAAATCCACAACGGAACCTGGAAGCTGCACCAGGTACATGCCCATGGAGTAATGTAATGTAATTATGAAGAAGATATGAAAGAATGCATGTGAAACATTTAACATAATGCATAGGCCTTAGTAAACACCCCATCAGTGTTACTGGTATTCTGATATTTCTCTTTTCAGAACTATTGAGGTAATAGTACACTCAAGAATACATTGCTCTGTTCTATAGGTATGCATTCTGCAAATGCTTAGTAGAGCTTAACCCCCCACTAGCTTCCAGCTCCCTGAGTTTTCTCAATGTCTCCTTCAAAACCAAACCCACAGGAGGAGTCTGACTACTGAGCCCAGAGGGACAGAGGCCTAGTGTGTATTCCCTTCTTGCAGTTAAGATGAGTTCATGGATTATCCCTTCCTAGAATAAACTCCTTTTAGAAAATAATATTCTCATCTGTTTGGATCATATCAACAATGGACTGTGGGTGGGTTTTCCTGAAAATATCCCTGCAATCTAAAACTGTTGAATATAATTCTCGAAAAGAGACAAATAATTTCTTAGAGAGCATTTCCATGTTAAATCTTTAGATTGATCTTTCAGGGTTCCCTGTCTGGATATAGTGCCAGAGAGAACGTGGAGTTTGAAATCAAACTAGCCTGGGCTTGAATATCAGATTCTCTAGTCACTTAATTAATAACTTAGGCAGCTAAATTTTCTTGTCTATAAATTCAGGATGATAATAGCACTTAATAATGTTATTTTGAACCTAAGAGAAGATAATGAGTACCCAATATCCAATGTTGGCCTCCCAGAACCACTCCAACTTAAATCTTTTCTGAAAATCAAATAATATACACCAGCAGTATCATTAGCTAAATTCTGTTAAGAACTGTTCCTATAGTTCACCAAGCTCTAAAATTGCCTCACTGGATTGGGCTGAAAGGAGGTGGTCTCTTCTCTCAGAGACCCTTGAGATAGACAAGTGGAGACAGTAAATTCTACACCGAACTGATTCTGTGAGCCAATGGTGGAAAATCAGACCTGACCTACATTTCTACCTCATACTATATGACTCTCTCTCTCTCTCTCTCTCTCTCTCTCTCTCTCTCTCTCTCTCTCTCTCTCACACACACACACACACACACACACACACACACACACACACATAGTCAGCATACTACACACACTCAAGCACATGCCATCTACACCCCCTTCCTGTTAAAATGACCTCCCTCTCTCCATAGCCTACAAACTTAAATTGTACCTCTTTCTTTTTTTCCCAGCCACGTGATTTTCCTTCTGTTGGGTCTCATGTAAGCCCTTCACATCACTGGCCACCTGGAAGGGGAGAAAGGAGCTGGATGGAGTAGGAGCAACTTCTCTACCCAGAAATGTTCAAAGGAAGGTTAGATATAAACAACAGGCACAGAGCATTACAGCACTTCCTCCTCTTGGGAAACAGCTGCTCTTCTGCAGCTTTACACTGACTTACATCTTTCCTCACCTCCACCCTCCCAGACCAGAGTGCAAGTACTTACAGGTACGAGTCCAAGGAGAGCCGTTAGGAATGATACATTACCTAATATTCACAGGTCAGCAATAAAATAAAACTGTTGGTAATTGGCAGCCTTCAGAACACTTTTATCTGTACTATCTCTTTGATGGTAACAATCCTAAAACATAGGGTAGGTATTTTCAATCTTCATCTATAAATCAGGAAATAGAAGCTGAGAAAAATGACCTGATAAAGGTCACTCAAATAGAGGCAGAGCTGAGTTCACACTAACAATTTTAGTCTTGTAATCCAATGTTCATAGAGTTTGAAGTCAGTAAATCTGGAAAACCACTTTTCAGGCTGAATGTTTATTCATTCATTCAACAAATTCAAAGTTCACTTACTACCAAGTCTCCAAAGCGGAGACCCTCACTCAGAGAGAGATACTTCCCTTTAAGCTCAAATCTTCTACAAAAATTCCCATCATTTCCTCCCTTGACCATGCCCAGAGGACACCTGCACAGCCCACCCCTGCAAGGACAGCTCAACATGACTCTAACCCCCTCATACTACATCTCTCTCTCTCTCTCTCTCTCTCTCTCTCTCTCTCTCTCTCTCTCACACACACACACACACACACACACACACACACACACAGAGTCAGCATACTATACACACTCAAGCACATGCCATCTACATTAGGTCTGTGGGATCATGTCATGAAATTGACAGGCAAAAATTCAAGAGTTTTAATAAATATTTTTAAATGTTTTTAGTTGTAGATGGGCACAATACCTTTATTTTGTTTATTTAGTTTTTTTTAACGTGATTCTTGGGATCTAACTCAGTGTCTCACACTTGCTAGGCAAGTGTTCTACCACTGAGCCATAATCCCAACCCATTAATAAATGTATTTTTTCCCCAAAAGAGAATGGAATAGCCAGGCGTGGTGGTGCACGCCTGTAATCCCAGCAGCTCTGGAAGCTGAGGCAGGAAGATCGCGAGTTCAAAGCCAGCTTCAGCAATGGTGAAGCACTAGGCAACTCAATAAGACCCTATCTGTAAATAATATACAAAATAGGGTTGGGGATGTGGCTCAGTGGTGGAGTGCCCTTGAGTTCAATCCCCAGTACCAAAAGAGAGAGAGAGAGAGAGAGAGAGAGAGAGAGAGAGAGAGAGAGAGAGAGAGAATGGAATAGATATGTAGAGAGTAGCAAAAATAGGATACTATTCAATTTGGATACAGTTTGTCCCCTACGGAGTCATGTGTTGGAGGCTTTTTGCCCAGTAGGTGATGTTGGGACGTTATGGAACCTTTAAGAAGTGGAGCTAATGTGGGGTCATTGAGTCACTGGAGTTGTTGCCATTGAAAGGAATTAATGTAGTTTTCACAGGACTTCGCAGAGAGTTGTTATAAAAGAGCAAGACTGGACCTCCCTGATCTTTAGTTTTCTGTCTCACCTTGTGATTTCTCTCTTTTGCTCTTTTATAAAACTCCCACCATGATGCCATCTGCCACCATGTGATGCAACCAGAGGGGCCCTCGCTGGGTCAGTGCCATGCTACTTGGACTTTCAAGCTCCCAAATGGGACTATTTTCATCATAGAGTTAACTTGCCATGGGTATTTTGTTTTACCTAAAAAATAGACTAGTGAAAAACCCCAAGAAGCATAAATGGAGCAATGAAGTACCAGTATTTTTGCAATTTCTGTGAAGGCTGATGTACAACTTAATCTTTAATCTTATGTGATTTTCCCAAATCTTCACCCAAAGTATTTTTACTATTACTACCATCATCATCATCACCCTCATCACCTCCCAGGCCCTTACTTCTAGCCAGTTTCTGTGCCATGTAACCAAATGGTTCCTACTAGCCCTGCTATGAAAGCTGTCATTGTCTCCCTTTGTCCACGAACACCACTGAAAATTTCTAACCACTTCAGTTGATCCTATGAGCAATAAAACTTAAAAATGAATCCAGAAGTCCCTCCTGTTATTTGTGTTTTTCTCACTTTTACAATCACTCACAATTGGAGGATCTGCATATATCCACAAAGTCCCTGTGACTTGTGGCATCCCACAGAATTATAGATTTTTAGATCAGGAGACACGTACCCTTATAAGTATGTGGTAGCATACTGGGAGATACATAATGCATTTTCTTGGAAATTCAATTTTAATCCAAGATCATTGCAGAAGAATAGTGATTTCAATAAAAAAATTGATTATGAAAATGTGGCAGTAAATATAATAATATGCAAATTTATATGATTTTTTTTCAATACAAAACACTAAATTTTGCAGAGATTCCCCTACAATGAACCCCTGCTAAGTATGTTTTCTTTTAGTCTCACACCCAGAGGAAAACTGTTTAAAGATATAATGAACATCTTAAATTTACTGATAGTGTCTTATGCCAAAGTGTGAGCTCTATCATTTTTGCCTATTGACTTGGCTTCCTTGTCCTGTGTACTTCCTCTTCCTGTTCTGTTCTTTGGGAACAACCATGTCCACACTATCTCCATCTGGGCACCACTTGAACTCCAGTGTTAGCCAGAAAGAGTTCTCAAAAACACAGTGCTACACAGTGTTCACTTACCGTTCTTTCTATGTTATCCCTATTAGAGATAAACGAAGCAGGGTTTGTTATCCAAGATCTTACAACTCTGTCAGTTTTACCTAAAATCTCCTCTCTCTTATCTCATGTCTGTGGATAAAATAAAACTTAAAAATGAATCCAGAAGTCCCTCTAAAGGAATCCCTACCCACAGATCCTGCCAAGGAATGTGATCTTCTTTATGTGCCTAATCTCAAGATTCCATGTTGGTATCAAAGTTCACTCTATCAGGGATGGGCACCTCACCCAAAGATAGCCAATTCTTAATTGGCAGCTTACAAAGCATCTTCCTATCTGACAACTAGACCTCACAGATTCTCTTTCTGAATGTAAGACATAATTGTTAGCAGAATTAATTATTAGCAATAATAAAATGAAAAGACAGAGAAACAGCTGTGCATGGTGGTGCATGCCTATAATTCCAGTGGCTCAGGAGGCTGAAGCAGGAGAATTGCAAGTTCAAAGCCAGCCTCAGCAAAAACAAGGTGCTAAGCAATTCAGTGAGACCTCTTTCTAAATAAAATACAAAATAGGGCTGGGGATGTGGCTCCATGGTCAAGTGCCCCTGAGTTCAATCCCTGGTACTTAAATAAATAAATAAAAGATAAACAGAAATAAGAGCTGGGCAAAAGAATCCTTGGCCCCATCTCTGAGTACTCTACCCACATCACTTTGACAATTACTTGTGGCAAAAACAAAATTGTTAAAATACAGGAGGTAGAGATATCATTTATTTTGTTTCCTCTCTTGTAGTTCCTGTTTCTGCCTCATCGTGACCAGCAAATCTAGACAGGAAGCATGTTGACCTCTCCAGTCCACTTCCTGGTTCTATATGATTAGGCAGACAAGTAGATTTAGGACCCTTCTTTCCGGCAAGTTCTCTTCTTTCTCTCCTCCAAGTAACTGGGTAAGTATGAACACTTCTGTCTCTCCCCATGTGTACTTCTCCCTCTCCCTCTCCCTCTCTCCACACTCTTGAGCATTCTGGTCCCAAATTATAGATTTCATACTGTGTTCAGCTTCCAATAGTTGTGACCTAAGAATTGAGGCTTAAGGACTTGAGGAGTTTACCTTCATCACATAATGAGAAGCCTGAAGAAGAGAAATTGCTGCTGGTGGTTTCAGCTACTCAAGGAATTCAGAGTGAAAATTTTGAGATTATTTGGGATTTTCCCTAATGGTTGGGGTCCAACTGTAACAAGTAAGTTCAGGCAAACAAAGAAAGAAAAGCAACAGAGGTTTTCTAAGAAATCCCACCCAATTACTTTTTCTTGTGTCTCAGAGGCCACCTCTATCTGGAAGAAAGAAGGTAAATGCAGTTTGTTTGTTTGTTTGTTTGTTTAAGATGGGAATATTGACATGCCCAATAAAGATGGAGTCCTGTTGGTAATGAAAAAGAGAGAATTGATATTGCAAAGGTAATTGGCAGTATTTACCATGGGCAGAGGCAAATCGGGTATGTGGACTCTGCCTAGGTCTACTGGATGCTCCAATCCAACTTGTATTAGAACTTTGCTAAAGGGAGCCTTTGGGTACTGCTTTCAGTTTTAAGAGAGTAATACTAACATTATACTCCCACTTCTCTGTTGTTCTTCTCATGTAACAAGAGTAATTGGCAAAGCTGGATTTGGGATTCCTGGGATGTTAGCCTATCTACCATCTAAAACCATCAAAGTCTTTCTTCAATTTCTAACAAGAGTCTACATCTCATTTATGGTGGAGCATTCAAGTGAGTGACAATTGACTCCTGTTGCTAAGACTATGTGGATCCTGACAAAAGTTCCAATGTGCATGTGGTGTTCCAGTTTTCTGTAAAGTATGGTTATTACAGAAATTCTGACAAATTTATTTGCTTTTCTTTACATCCCAGTGGTTTTCCAATGTGATAATGCACCAGAATCACTTGAATGGCTTGCTAAAACACAGATTGTAAGGCCCCACCTTTAGGGGTTTTGTTTCATTGAGTTTAAGTGGAACCCAAGAATTTGCACATCTTATAACTCCCCCAGCGAGGGTGATTTCCCCGACATGGCACACTGTGAGCCCTGAGAACTATTTAGTGCAGCATGTAATAGACTGACATTATTGGAGTTCACCTGAATGATTAAAACAGCCAAAGGGCCTACCTAATGCACCTTTCTTTGGATTCAGACAGAAGTCCATAGGTCTGGAATAGAGGACAAGGATTAATGATAAAAACCCTGTTTATCATTAATAAATTATATTATTATTAATATCCAGAACCTTGCCTACAACTTTTGAGGACCATAGTTTTGTAGGCAGGACAAGGTTCACTGCCCATTTCTCTCTTCTCTTAGGATGAGTGTTTTCCTGAATGGCTACACAATGATGGGTTATGAAAGACTTTCAGCCTCTCATCTTCCACACACAAAACATGTTTGAATCCCAGGAGTGAATTCACCTAGATTCAAGCAAGATCTACATACTACATCTCTAAGACAGTAAATTTGCTCAAATTATAATCTTGGATTTAAATTGAATGACCAAATAAAGGGATAAAATTCAAATTAATGTGTCATGTTTAATGCAGAGCAAAGAAAGAATAATACATAATCCCTGCTCTTGAAGAACCTGATGTAAATTCAGAATACACATGTTTTAAAAAACACAAATTTTAATAAATGCTACAATGGTGGTATGAATAAAGGGTAATAGAAGCAAAGTCGATGGAGGAATCCTATAAGAAGGGAATCAAAAAGACCTCATGTCAGATCTGATTAAGAAATTGTGAGCAATTTTCTTTTATACTCCAGGGCCTTGATTTACTAATAGCTATGTCAACCCACTAGGTATATAGACATGTTATTTCTGAGAGTCCAAGGAGATTTTTCCCACTCCTTTCCTTAGCCAGAATAGTAGTCTCGAGGTATGAGACCCACTTACCCACACTCAATTTTTCTCTCTCCTGGGAAGGGATGAGCTATTGCCTTCCTCCCTGCATTACACTGAGGCGGCTCAGAGGGTCTCAACAGCCAGAAACTTAATGTTAAAAGTAGGGCTGAGGCTGGAAAGAATATTGTTACCAGGCATCTCCACAAAATGAGAGCATCTTCTCCACCCCAAACCTCAGGTTGGTAGTTAGGCTTAGAGGAAATCAGAAATCTAGTGTCAGAATTCTAGTTCCTCATTAATTTAGTGACTTTGGCCAAGATATTTAACTAATTAACTTTCTTGAAACTTTCTCATTAGTAAAATGGAAGTATCATCACATTCTTTGTGAGGCAACTATAATATTAAAGGATATCCAGCTTACAGTATAGCATTAAATTCAGTCTAAAATTTCAATTGTGTGAAATATAGGACCTTATTATTGCTTGATTAAAGAAAACACCGCTGGGGTTCTCAAGCACCCTGAACAGGCCAGGAATTGCACACTTCACGGTGGTCTGGCGCCACCTAGTGGTAGCTTTAAATAATGCGAGGAGGACGCGTCCAGGCTGGCTGAACTTCCAGGAAAATTCTATGAGTCCAGGACCACCTATTTCTTTGTTTGATTATCTGGAGAAACAGGAAACCTGGGGACTCCTCCTCGACTTGCTTAGAGTAGGTTGCCGGTCTTTCCCACTTGTCTGGTACAAGCCTCCCCATTGCTGTCTGCCTAACCCCAGTGCAGACAGAGCAGGAACAGAATCCAGCCCCTATTTAGGAATGTCAGCAGGTGGGAGGACAGAAGGGAACTGAAGACCTACCACCTTATCTTATAATGCACACAGAAGCTAAAAAAAAAAAAAAAAAAAAGTCGCCTAGGCCACACACCCAGCCTGAGTTGGCCGCTGCAGGTTTTCCTCCTCCAAGAGTCACCCTGGACTCCTTCCTGCTTCTGAAGCACTGTTCCTTCCTCCCCGGTGCTTCCTAGGTGCCAGTCCAGTCTTCAGTGCTTTCCACCACGGCTATGGGACTTGTTTTCTGAATGGTTCCTCCTCATAGTAGGGAAAGGAGAAATACTGGGGAGCCATAATGACCAGATTATACTGTAAGCCACATGCATGTATGAATATGTAAGAATAATCCCACAATTATGTTAGTTATAACATGCAAATAAATAGAAATGAACATTTTAATAAAAAATGATACCTCCTTGGTTTCAGACTCCTGTTAGTTGTCTATCTCACTAATATCAAATTGCTTCTTTTAAATTAACACGATCTGAAGCCATCAGTGGGGGTTTCCCTCTAGAGTAAAAGAGCCTCCTTCCCTAAGGACTATGCTCTCTTCATATATCAATTAACATTTCACACAGTCCCTGGTAATTTGTCTTATTTTCTCTTCACTTCACTGGTATTTACCTGCCCTCTGTCCGTCTCTGCCCTTTTGCTTTGGGTCTGGATAGGTTGGGCAAGGTGTTCACTGTCGGCAGCAAAGGGCTGAGGAGTCTTAGCTCAGTGACACTCAAACCAAAAAACACTTTGCTCTCAAAAATATATATATTTGCTTGACTTTGAACCCAATCTACCTATAGCAAATTTGCCCCATTGCCAGTGTTAAAATTAAACTAATCAGTGTTTTGTGTAACCAGGTATAGAGGTTTCTGCAATCATTCTGTCAATAATTTAATTTCAGGGCTTTCTTTCCCTAAGGCCTGTGCCTCTGGTTTTTAGGACCTGGCTGCTACTTCTCATACCCATGCAAGAAGGCAAGGTGAGAGAGGAGTTGATGTAAGTGGAATGCACCTGAGTAACTAGCCCGAATTTTTACAGAGCTTTCAAAAGTAATTGTGAAATCCACCCATATTCCTTTAGAGATCAAGGAAAATTCCAGATGCTGGAAGGCCCAAGGGTAACAAATATTGGGAAATGTTTGAAAGGGGAGAAACCTAAATCTTGGAATGCAAAACCATATGTGTTAGAATGTATTCCCTGGAATGTTAAAAAATATAACATTGTTATATTATAAAATATATAATATAAATATATATAATATAAATAAATAATATAAAATATATAATATGTGTAGACTGAGAGGATACTATAGACAACTAAATATTTGTTTTGTGAAAATAAGTGCCTTCATGAAGCTTACATTTTTCAGTGGGGAAAGTGGATACTGGCAATAAATAATTGAATATAAACAGAAAGATAAAACAGATTCAACATTATAGTAAGCACCCAAGATAAGGTAAGGGATGCCATTTATAGGATGGTCAGGGAAAGTCTTTCCAGTGAACTTTTGAGAAGCAAGTGAGACACTGAAACACAAAACATAAAAGCAGTTCAGGTCATGAGAAATACAAATGTAGTGGTCCTGCAGTGAGAGTGCTTGGTGAGTTCACAGAACAAGAAAAATCCTCATGGCTGGCACGGAAGAAGGGGAAAAGCAAGTGTCCCCGATGACATCTGAAAAGAACAGGGGTCCTGACTGTGAAACACCCATAGGCCACTGTAGGGACTAAGCTTTTACGGGGAGGGAGATTAGAGACCCTGAAAGATTTGAACAGAGAAATGACCCAACCTAAGTTATATTATCAGGATCATTATTGTTACTTTGTGGAATACTATATGAGAGAGTGAGGCTAAGAAGCAGAGAGAGCAGTTTAAAGCCTCCTGCAGTAATCCAGGCTGGATACTGTCCCTCCCTCTACTTCATTGCCAGGTGCTCATCTTGCTCAGGTCAACACCCCTCTTGTCAAGTACAGTGTCTAGTACAACAGTGATGGTTGAATGAAGCCTTTAGAATGGCAACTAAAATAGCAGTCACCTGTTGGACTAGAGGAAGAACAATTCACTTGTCCATATAGAAACACATTCTATGGAAAGTCATGACTCTGAGATATAGAAGAAATGCAAATGGAAGGAGACACTATTTCAAACCTTAGTTCACCAAGAATATCTGCTTTGCCTGCTGCCAGTTTCATTAAAACCTATAAGCAAATCCAATTCTCGTTTCCACTCCCACCAGTCCAGATGGGCATGCAAAACTGGACCCTATCTGGTTGGAAAACTGAGACCCTATCTCATTTGCATCTCTGGTGCTATACTGTGGTCCTCTGGGGAGACTGTTGTACAGGAACACCTGGATTTAGGAAGCGCTTCTCCATTATTCCAAAGAGTAGAACCAGCAGTCATCTACCCTCACGGTGAGCCTTCACGTGTATCCAAGAAACATTCTAAAGCAACAAGATCCCTCAAAGATTCCTGTCAGGGCTTTTAGTGTACCCACTTTGGGACATAACTAGGGCAAGATCTGGGTGTTTTGTAAAGGAAAGTCCTGATTCAGAATGTACTCTTACCCTCCTCTGCTGAGTAGTGTCTGAGTTTTAAATGAACCAGTCACCAAGAGAAGCATCATGTTGACTCTGACACCTGTCTTAACTCTGTCCTATAAAGCCAAGATTCATTTCTGTTCCTTCCAATCCTGGAGTCTGCAGTGGGGAACTTGGCCAATGTATTCATTTTCTTGGTGAACTTTAGAGACATGGTAAAGAGACAGCTACTTAGCAACTGTGAGCTTGTGCTGATGTGTCTGAGCATTTCCCGGCTTTTTCTGCATGGGCTGCTGTTTCTCGGAGCCATCCAGTTTACTTTCTTCCAGCAGATGGAAGACCCACTGAATCACAACTACCAAACTGTCATTATGCTGTGGATGACTGCACACCAAGTCAACCTCTGGCTCATCACCTGCCTTAGTCTCCTGTATTGCTCCGAGATTGTCTGTTTCTCCAACACCTTCTTCCTCTGCTGCACAGGCTGGATCTCCAGGAAGATCCCCCAGGTGCTCCTGTGTGCTGTTCTTTTCTCCTACATCTGCATTGTCCTCTGTTTATGGGACTTTTTTTAGCATATCTCACTTCACAGTCACAGATGTTATCCATGAACAATCAGAACTCAATTTGCCAATTACAAAACTCAATTTTCTTTTATTCATTTATCTTCTGCAATGTGGGATCTCTCTCCCCTTTCCTTTATTTTCTAGTTTCTTTAGGGTTCCTGGTTATCTTCCTCAGAGGTCACATGAGAACAATGAAATCCCAAACCAAAGACACTCACACCTCCAGCCAGAGGCCCATATCAAAGCCCTCATACACTTGACTTGGCTTCTTTCTCTGTTTCTATGCAGTGTGGTTCTGTGCTGCTCTCATCTCAGTGCCCTTACTGATACTGTGGCACAGCAAGGTTGGGGTGATGGTTTGTATAGGAATGATGGCAGCTTGCCCCTCTGGACATGCAGTCATCCTAATCTCAGGAATGCCAAGCTGAGGTGGCAGTGAGGCCCATTCTACTCTGGGTTCAGAGATGCCCAAATATAAGGACAGACCACAAGACAGATACCAGGACACTTTTCTGAGAGTGGGCATAAAAAGGGGTTTTCATGAATGCATCTCTGATTCTTCATGAAGCCTTGAAATTCCTTCTATAAAAATAACTGGAAGTATTCTACATCAGTGGACTCACTCATAGAAGAATGAAATAATTAAAGCTGTATAAATGATCTAAGCAAGTACAATGATGTTGGTTCCAGAGGTTGGTATGGCCAAATGATCAAGATAGAGAGGTGAGATGTTCAATGTAAA